TTTCTTTCTTTCTTTCTTTCTTTCTTTCTTTCTTTCTTTCTTTCTTTCCTTCTTTCTTTCGTGTGTCTACATTGCAGGAGACTGCTGTGTGTAGAGAAACCAGCATAGAGATAATTATGGAGTTATCTGTCCAGGGAGGAGGAAGTTGTGTATTAATTGCCTCTATGGGAATTTTCTCATTATTCGTCGCTCTACCCCTCTTTCTAAGAAGAATAATGAGAACAGACATTACATTTCACAAGTATGGGAGATGCAGTGGGAATGCTCGAATCTTTTAAATGATGAGAATTTGGTACCATCACAAAGCTTATAACCTACTCATCTTTTCCACGCACCCATTCTGTTGAAGCCGGGTGCACGGCATGAAACCAGGTGCTGTGTTGTGGGTTACAGATGGCCTTTGTTTTCCATCATCATCATCACTGTCCTTCATACCTCGTCCGGGGAGGCTTTAATGTGGGTTCTTAATGATGGCACTCATTTCAGATATTTATCTCTAAAAGGAAAGAGCTTTAATACCTTCTCTGATTATAAAGGTCAGTTCAGGTTTTTATGAAAAGAGGTGGAACTCTTTTTTTTTTTTTTTGCATATTGGAGCTGACATTGGGCTTAACAAAATGAGCCTCAAATTAATGTTGTCACCCAGATGATATCTAATTCAGGATTTTAGGATGCACTAGAAAAATGCCATTGCTTCCACAATAGCTCAGTCAATGACCTCCTTCATGCCTCTGTTCTTGAGTTCCCTGGTGGCCAATCTGGGCAAGGTCAGCAGTGAGTACTGATAGGATGCCCTGCATGTTGCAGGGGCAGAAACATTTTTCTTTCACATCTGCCTTTCTGTGGATGGTGCCCTTCTGTGTGGCGGTGCCCTTTCTGGGATGTGCCAGTGAGGTTCCAAAAAGCACAGGAAGCCAGGATGCTGGTGCTCGCCTTCATTGTCAAGTAGCTGTAATCCCTAGGTCTCTGCAAAACCCCTGCCATCTTTCAGGTCCTTTGTCCCGACGACCTGTCTGTGCAGAGGTGGAGGGGACAGAGGAAGCGAAACCGATGTGCACTCAGGCTCTCGGCTTGACGGTTTTAATACCCGATCCCATAAATCTCCTTACCTACCCTATGAGATCAGAGGTGGCATTGTCATTTTACTGATGTGGACCTCAGGGTCCAATCTTAGGGGTGGTCATTTGCCCAAGGTCACACAACTAACAAGTCATGGCATTTGAAACTGTACCTTGCGATGACTAAGTTCATGATCTTTCCGCTACCTGCTCCTCAAAATTCAAAAGCCGTGTCCTGGGGCCAGGGCCACCTTCTCACACACAGCCCCTAGCAACTATCTGGCAGATAAGGGCTTGTTTGACTCCTATGCTGATTTCTTTAGAAGCTTCATTCTCAGAGCTCCGGGACCTGATATCACAGGAAGAGCAAAGTTAGGCTTCACACCCTTGTCAGCACTTCCGTGGGTGGAGGGATGTGTTATTTTTCAACCTAAGGAATGAGATGTGGCATCCCTTTCAGCTAAATGAGTCCCATCTATTCAGCTCCTCTGTCTCCGGGATAGATAAAAACTTGGGACTTGGATAGGACAGGTGACCAGGACCAGGGTTGGTCTCTCTTTCAGTTACCCCCATTTCACATTAATGATTGGGGCGAGAACTCTCATTGTCTTGTGTGTGTGTCGGCAGGGTGTTTCTTTTAACAAGATGTTTTTCTAAATCTTTATGCCATTTGATAATCTAGCTATGTTCCCTTTATTTTTTTTTTTAAATGTTTGTTTATTTTT